CGGGGCATATGAGGCTAAACCGACGTGAGGGTTGAACTGGTTCAACTATGGTTTTCAAGCGGCCGGTCGGTCCCTTGCCTTTCTTGAAATTTCCGCACAAAGGGGAGGGTCCTTCCCTCGAGCTATCTACTACTACGTATATTCCATGTTTTGTGTTTAGAATATTTTAGTTTTTGCTGATTTCAGATTTCTCGCCGTCAGTGTTTCTCCTTTCCTAGGCTGTATTCGAGGATAGGTGATGCTTCGACTGTATCTTGCTCCAAAGGGGTTACCATCTCCCCACAATCCTGTGAATACTTCCCCTCCCTTGCCGCTACCACCCTATATGAGCTCCAACCTTCCTGCTTCCCTGCTGTCACCCTCATGCTGCCCAACCTGCTGCCATAACCACCTTTGCCTTCCAATCTGCAACCGCAAACCTCATCACCTCCTTTCCTGCTGGCCACAACCCCTTCCACCTCCCCACCTGCTGCCGTAAACCCTTCCCATGATCCAACCTGCTGCCGTAATCCCATCTCCATTCTTCCTACTGCCACCATTCTCTGCCTACCTTCCAGCGTTGTTTCCACCCCTTCCAAACCTACAACCCCCAGTCTGCACCCTACCTGCTGTCTAGCTGCCACTCGCTATCTTCGTCCTCATCCTAGGGTGTTGTGTGTGTGCGTGTGTGTGTTGTTGTTGTAGTCATTTCTATTAAGAGAACCCTGTTAATGTAGTTTCCCATATTTTTCAATAATATTTTCATTTTGTTGAGCTTAATTCTTGTTTCAATGCACTTCGAAGGCAAGCTATGCATCGCATCACTTTGATTTAACAAAATATATTTTGTTTCTCTAGGTTCTAATTCATATGAATTTTATCATGATTGTCCTCTTCCTAGGGTGTTGTGTGTGTGTGTGTGTTGTTGTAGTCATTTCTATTACGAGAACCCTGTTAATGTATTTTCCCATATTTTTCAATAATATTTTCATTTTGTTGAGCTTTGGGTTAATTCTTGTTTCAATGCACTTCGAAGGCAAGCTATGCATCGCATCACTTCGATTTAACAAAATATATTTTGTTTCTCTAGGTTCTAATTCATATGATTTTTATCATGATTGTGTGCGTTCATAGCTCAACCAAAGATTTAATGAGAAGATTGATGAGGTCCTATTGGAAGGAAATACTATTTGAAACATTTATAGAGGGCTTTGAAACTTTAAAAATTCTTAGGGAATCTGATTAATGAGATTTGGTGAAGCTAGGTTGACATCACCTGGCACGAAATTTGTAAAAAGGGAAGTTGTTGCTACTTTTAATGGGTGTTTTTTTCTCTTTTTTCCCATTTTGTTAACAGTTCTATTACAAGAACTTCGAGGCATAATTCTGTGTTTTAAGAGAAATTTGCCCAAAGTTTTGTTGAAAAATTTTTTATCTTTCACTTCTTAAAATTTGAATTTTATTTTGGAAAATTTTTGTCTTTATCTATGTATAGAATTTTTTTTAAAATTTTCTGGAGATCCTTTTTTTTTCATGTAATATAACACCTCTAATCCTAGAATGATTTTCAATGAAATTTTTCTTTTTCTTTATTCAGGAGGTGCTATTGAGGGACTCCACACAGCACTGCGAATTAAAAAAAAATGGATTTGATGCTTTTAAAGATTTTGTTGGTAGGGTGTAACCACGTTGTTTTGTCAATGGAGAAATTTAAAATTAAAACTAACTTTTTTTTTAAGTATAAAAAATTAGGGTGGCCAAATTTATGAGGCCATAGTATTATTTCTTGATTTCAAAATGTAAAAATAGACCAAGAAAAATTGCTTTAATTTCCTTGCTCAGATTTGCTCTATCATATAAGAATAAGTCTTTCACGTTGCTTAAAATTACCGTGCAATCTCTTTGAGGCTAATTCCTGAGACTCACAATTTCTACGATAAAAATTAACATGAAAATTGAGAATAAGTGTTAGTTTACTAACAGATAAAAAGTTGCATGATGAGTTTGGGACATGAAGAACATTATTATAAGATGGGGAGAGATTTGAATTGTACTTATTTTGACTATAATTGAGAATGACCCATCAACAATTTTATAATATTTTTTTTTATGGCATGTTTCTTAAGAAAGTAGGTGTGAAGATCTTGTAGTTTCATTGCTCAATTTTTGATATTGAAAAAAATAATACTATTGCCTTGCTATGCCAAAGAATAGGTAAGATTGAAGAGTTATTGTGGAGAGAGTTTTTGTTGCTGCTCTATTTTTTCATTTGTGAAAGTAGATATTTTTGAGTCAATCTATTGTTTGTGAGGATCTTCAATTATTGTTTGAAGCATTTTGCTATAGGGTTTTTTCTTCAATGTGCTTGTTTTCCTTGAATTTTCTAGAATTGTCTTTTGTGTGCTATGTTTTTTCTTTCCGACAAAATTTGCTCCCTGATGTTTTCCTTCTCTTTCCTCAAAATTTGATCCCAGGAGAATATATCACAATTTGCAATAACGGAATACTTATTGGGTGTTGCTTTACTTATCATCATATTCTTTCTGTATTCTCGGTGATTGGCCTTAGAAAAACTTCAAAGATTGATGAATATGTTTTCTCCTTGAGATTTTTATCCTTCACTTAATCTAGATTGCATATTATTTTGACATGAAACATATAAACATGACCATTCTCCTTTGTTTTTTTTTCACAATGTATAATCATTTGGGTTATTCCACACATCTTCATAGCATTAATCCAATATTTTTGTTCCTTCTCATTGTAATAGATGGTGACTACCCACTCGTTATTTTGATTGTTAATGTCTTCATTTGAATTGAAAGATCTTAGTAGTGTTTTCTCAATCTTAATAGGTTTCACTTACAATATCACTAACATCATTTTGGTTGGAAGGAATATATAGGTTTTTTGCTATAGTTCCCTCCTTCGAGTTCAGGAGCCAACTAATCACCGTGGAGTTCCTAATTTCCATGTCGTGCTCAAGTTATGACACAAGAACAATTGCCAAATGTGTGTAAACTTGCAGGGAGTTTGCACATTCACTTTTTGGAAGCAATGCAATATAAAAGTAATAAATTTTCATTAAAAGTTGATAATAATTATTATTATATCTTGACATATGCATGCATGCATGTATGTATGTATAAATTACATGTAAAGAAATAAGGACATATATAAGTAATAAAGTCTATTAAAAAATTGTTTTAATGGAAGTGCTTCTGTCCCCTCTGTCATGCCTCCCCCTCTGACCCTTTCACCCCTCCCTTATTGGCATCTCTCTCTTGTATTTTATTCTTCATGACAACTCTGTTGAAATCTCCCTCTCTAAATGCTTTTTTGGTCTCCCTCTCCTCTAATTGTTCCGCCCATTCTCGTGGAAACCTCACAGTGACCAGCAGAAGAATTAGACGGAAACTTTATGCACCACATATGCAACATAATCTTTTTTCTGGAGTGGGACCCAACTTTTGGGGTAAATTTTAGGTGATTTTGCTCAGAAGCAATCCTGTCCAAAAGCCCTAGGGGCAAATACGTGCATGTAGCTTAGGTAGACTGAGGAATTGGCATGTCAGATGGTGTCACCCAATTGAATGTTTATGATTGAATAAGATCAGGCTAATGGTTTTCGGATGCTGTTTCTTACTGCCAATCAATTATGGATTGACTGTAAATAGTGATGGTACGATATATTTTATGGAGCTTTGGTAGAAACATGTCATTATGAGAATGCTTTAAAGGAAAACGTGTGAACTAAAATGAGATGTTCAAAAAATTTTTGGCAAAAGCATTAAAATAATCCGCAAGGCACATTTCTTCATAACAAATGACTTCATAAATAAAATTAAATGGACATTAGTTTTCTTTAACATTGGGATGGAAAAATGAAACTTTTTTTTTTTTGGTTATCTTTATCATCTTCTACATTTGTTATCTTTATCATCTTCTACATGTATGAATCAACTGTTTTTTTAAGCGTCTCCACATCCATAACTTTTAGTGATTACTCTTTGAGCCACTTGTTTAGTTGCATTTTTTTGAGATTATAATAACTATGGTTGCTGTATGACAAGTTTAAAGTATATAACTTTCTAGAAACCGTTAGTTTAGGGGTCACTTGGGATCAGCTTTGATTTTGATTTTTTGTTTTTATTTTGTTTTGTTTATGTTTTGACTTAAAAATAAAATATATTTGTTATGGTATAAGATGTTTAGTTGTTTAAAAAACACACAGAAAATTTTTTAAATTTTTTTCTTTAAAAATATAAGTTACTTTGCATTAAAAAAATAAAAACTTGCAAAAAAATGCACTAAATAACTGTGATTTTAAAATAAAAAATAAAAAATAAAGAATAAAGGTGATCCAAATCATGCCCTTAGAAATGTTAATCAAACATTAAGGGGCCATTTGGGATCACTTGTGTTTTTTGTTTTTTAATTTTTTTTATTTTATTTTAGTTTATTTATGTTTTTACATAAAATAAAATATGTTCGGTATGTTTTAACATGTTTATTTATTTTTAAAATGCTCAAAATAAATTTTAGATGTTTTGATTGATTTTAAAAATAAGCTAAATCGTTTTTTAAAACAAAAATTAAAAACATAAATAATGCACTAAACAAGCATGTTTTTAAAATAAAAGCAAAAACAAATACAAAAAATAGAAAACAAGGTGATCCGAAACATGCCCTAAGCTGTTGGAGGTTTAAAGTTTTCTTTGAAATGTAATTGAACAATCTTAATTTAATTGGAGTAGTCACGCTTGATTATTGGGTATGGCAATCTTGAAAGCATTGATAGATTAGATTACCGAATATCATTCTATCTAACAATTTTTGCTGTTTATTCTGTTCTATATGTTTTTCATGTTTATTTTATAGCTTTCTTATATCCATTTGTTGATTATACTTAATATTCTTTTTGGATCCTGCATCTCTGTTAAACTAGTACAGGTGACATTTAAATAGTTTTAATCTTTTTGATTTTAATAAAAGTTTTTTACACATTTACCATCAAACAGCGGAAGCAGAAAAGAATAAAGAAGGCAATGAGGATCCAACTCGGGGAAGGGTGCGCCATGGAAGATTGAGGTCATTGAGTGATCTACTCTACCCAAGAGAATTCAACAATGAGGATTCCCCAGAGGGTCATGAATTTGAGAGAGTTGATTCTGACTATGATGATGAAATGGAAGTGGACTTTGAAACTTCAATATCTGGGGATGAAGCCCATTACAATGATTCAAACATTTTCCGTGGAAGTTTAAATTTGAGATTTCACCAAAGAAATGATTTAAACATTGAAAACAGTGTTGCCAATGGTTTTCATGGCCCCTCAGCTCAAGATGAGACTTCTTATGAGGTTTGTTCTCTTTTCCAGAGGTTTCATTTAGGATTTATGTTGTTCAGGTGACACTGACGTTCAAATCAAGGTGGTTGGGATATGCTTCATTAATTTAACATGTTTCTATATGAATAATTTGGACATAGTGTCAATTATCATCCCAAGTCATCCTTCATCTCAAACTTTTTCATCATATTTTTTTGCAGATTTTGGCACTATAAGTAGTAGTTTTACTTGGGTCTTTAGGGAGGGTTTTTTTTTGGCTGAATTTTATGATATGATAATGCTATGAATATTATATGTTCAATTATAAAAAATAGCCATATTTCAAGACAATTACAAGTGATCAAGTCCTTCTTTCGTAAAGCCAAAGGTTGGACCATCCAACGGTACAAAAAAGAAGATGCCACATGAGGCAGAAAAGCACTCATTTGGACTGTCTTGCTTGAAGCTTAGTGAAAACCCGTGAGTGTCAATGTATATATTTTTATTGTCTCCACATTTGGTGAATGGGTTTTGAAATCTACTATCTATCCAAACATATCATTCATTATACTCCCAACAAAATCATCAGGCTGTAGAGAAAAAAAAAAAGGAAAGAAAGAAGCGCAGGGCATCATTACTGCCCCTCTTTTGTTTTAGGAGGGAGAGGGGAAACCCCTTAGAATGAGAAAATCAAATTCCATTCTCTTACTAGCAGAAGAAGAGATCATCTTTGTTGGGCTAGTAAGACCAAGCACGAAATACTTAGGGAGGTTATATAGTAACAATAACATTAGGGGATGCCTTAAAAGTTCACTTCCGCCAATATTCATAAGATTCTGAGCTAATCCACACCTTTTTCGTTGGCATGACAGCATTCATTTCTTCTAAAGTACTAAATATTGAATGACGCGGGTGTTTGTCAACGATTACAAGGCCTTCTGTCCAAGCCCTTTTTGGGGGTTTCCAGGAAGAACTGGCCTAGATGGTTCAAGGCCTAGCCAGGTCAGGTCTTTGCCATCCTCGAAGGGATAACCAACCATTTTTGGGCTCCCATTTTTTTGCTTTAATTGAGATTAAGGTTTCTTCCGCTGTTTTGCTATAAATATTTGTTTAGAGATTGCATTTGGGGACTTTTTTATGGTTTCAATGTTATTGGAGACTTTCTTCTCTGCAGTATTGTTTCTTATTTTCTCTTAAGTGGTGTGGCTATATCTTAATTGAGAGCAGGTGGTGGTACTTCCTTGTTAAACGTACCTCCCCTCCCTTGCCTTGATCGCCTCTTGCTTGCTTTTTTTTTCTCTCTAAGGCAGCAGCTGTTGTCTATTTCCTTCTTGCAAAACCTTGTCTATTCTCAGGTTTGTCCCCTTATTATTCTACAAACACCCGCAACCCTTGTATTAATCATCATACACTATCTAGGAACTCTAAATCGTTGTTATTGAAGGTTTCAAGAGACGAGCAGTGGCAACATCCGCCTGCAATGGTTTAGTGGAGACAACATCTAATGGGTACAAAGTAGATTTATTCAAAAAAAAAAAAAAGAGTTATTGAACCTAAGAGTTATTGAACCTAAGGGAAGGGCAATCCAAATAGGCGTGGTAGGTGTTCTACAGATGCATTAAATTGGAGACAACATTAAGATACATATCTGTAAACCACTGACATAGGAGGTACATCTAGAGAAGATTCTGCTGTAGTGTGCATTTGAGTATAGTCTAATGATGTGCCAAGAATCAATAAACTCAATTGAATGTTTGCCCACTCGGTACAAATTTAATAAGAACTAGTGACTGTCATTCACATGTGAGCAATCCAAGGAGAATTGTCTTACAATAGAAAAAGAGAGTGGCCTAACAAGTGTGAAACCTCTTAAATAGAAGTTGATCTCTTAAATATTGAGATAACTTTTGGTGTAATAATTGAAAATTTATTAGAAACTCAAAAATTAAATATGCTTTTCAAGAGCATTCTCGCGATGGGTGACTTCTTGGGAAGCTACACCAATGGGTCAAAATTGTGTAGCTATTAGGCCAAAACGGATAATATCTCAACGGGTGAGAGTTCACACTTTTACAAATGGTACTGGAGCGCTATACTGGTTTGAAGATGAGAATTAATTATTATACAAAACAAAGTGTTATGTTATGAGAGTTCTCCCTTTAACCATAGCTGGGATAATAAGCTCTCACCTCTAGAATCATATTTGATTCGTAGATGATTTTGTGTTAAAGTTACTAACGGGGACAACATTTACTTGAAGTATGAGAAATTATGAAATTCCTTATGTAGAATGAAGATGAACTCTTAAATATCGAGATTTTTTTTCGGTGGAACGGTTGGAAATGCTTGGGCAGGAGCCTTCTAGGATGTGGGTATACTGATGTGTCAAAACAGTGAAGCCATTAGTCCAACCCGACTAATATCTTGATGAGTGAGAATTTGTATTATTACAATTTTGTAAACCTTTTTAAGTAACTTTGTATTCTTTTTAAGTAGAATAAAACTAAACTCTTTAACATTGTCGTTCTCTTTAGTTTTATCATTGAAATTTTAATAGTAAGTGTGCTCGGAGCACTCCTAGGACACGTGTCCTTCTGGAAAGTTACACAAGTGGGATAAAATCGTGAGACCATTAAGCTAAAGAAAATAATATCTCGATGGGTGAGAGTTTAGATCGTTACAAATGATTTTAGAGCATTACATCCGTCTGAAGATGAGAAGCAAAGGTCATTAGAATGATGCGTTGTTATGGGAGTCACCTCTTGACTTCTAGATTTGATAAAATGTTACAATATAGGAGCCAACTCTTGAATCTGTAGGGTCTATCTTTAGGATCTTATTCACCTGGTAGATGATGAGTTAAGAAAACTAATGAGGATATCAGTTACTTAAGCGGGGGAGGTTATGATATCCATTAAGCAGAATGAATCTGAACATTTATACATCGAGGTGCCTTTTATTGTAGCAATTAAAATTTTATTAGAAACTCTAAAGTTCAGCGTAGAAAGGTGGGAGTACTCCTGGGATGTGTGACCTCTTTTTAAGTCACAACAAGGGGACAAAATTGTGATGTCTTTAGGCTTGAATATCTTGTTGCATAAGAATTCAGACTGCCACAACAAGCTTAGATATCTCATAAAAAAAATAGTATATATTCCCCTTAATATGATGATGGTTTCTTATGTATTGTGGGAATTGAATCTTTAGGAAAATAGAAATGAAATTGGTTGATCCACTCAACTTTTTCAAATGAATAAAAGTTGAGCAATAGGTGGTGCAATAATCGAGAAATCAATGGGGCCTCTAAGGTAATAAACACAAAAGGGAGAAAATGTGATGTAATCAATGAAGCCAATGAGATCGTATGAGCATCCAATGAGGGGATAGATTGTGGTAGAATAGGGATAATAGAGTTGGAGAGTTGGAGAGTTGGAGAGTTGGTGAGACCTACTCGATAGTGACGAAGAAAATGTGACGAGGATCTCAAACGGGGGAAGAAATTTGCCAGAATGGGAGGATGATCATCAAATATGGAGAAGAAATACATGGAAAACCATAGAGGCATGCCAAGATCCATAGCGATAACAACACATGCAATCACATGTGAGCTCACGAAATTGTATTAGCGTGCAACCACACAAAAGTGTGTGAAACTACCTAAACCCAAGGCTGGCACATGAGAAGCACGTAATTGGCCAAACTCTGGAAAACATGCAACCGATGAAAGCACAAGCCAAGATAAATCAACAAGGGTGAAAATTCACCAAACCTGCTCAAACATGACGATGATCTTAGTGATGGGAGCTAGGGCAAACCACAAGTTGGGGATATGCTAGTGTAGAGTTGAAATGATTTGAGGTCTATGGAGAGAGCGATTCCGAAACTTGTTCCCTATTAGGTTAAGAAATTTCAGCAAGTATCACTAGTCGTATCTCAACTATTTGGGGTCATGCTTTTGACGCTCTTTTTTGTTTCTTTTTTTGTTGAGCACCCTTTTTATAAATCATTTTAAACAACTATGCTTCTTATGTTAGGTATAACCCTTTTTTTTTTCTAATTCTCTAACATTATATTTATTTGCTTGTAAATTGTTTGTTGTTCATGTCCTAAATTTTTATCAATCTATTTTATTTCAATAGAGGTCACTCCCGTTGTTCGTCTAATATAATTATTTACTAATTGATTTTTTTAGTTTTAAGACAAATCTATCTCAATATTTTTATGTATCTCATTCTCAACTTGATATGAAAGATTTATAATGAAATTTTATGTAATATGCAACATTACCACTCTATATAAAGTTTTCTTTTTAGTCTTCATGATAACATCTTATCACATATAACTCTTGAGATACTTCTCCATTTTAACCGATCATTCTCAAATAGTGATGTTATAGCTTCATCCATATCAACAATTTTCTGTATAAAAGATGATGTAGAGCTCCCCTAAGGGGGAGGGCTGAGCCGACTGAAATTAGTTGAACCTGTTCAGACAAGAGGAAGGCAGGGACGACCGATCCATCTTGATGGGTTACGGTTCCTCCCCTCCTATATTTTACGGGGTTAGGGCCCAATTTTTTACTTTGAGATTTTTGTCATTGCCGTCATTCTCTCCCTATTTGGGGTTGTATCCAAGGAAAAGTGATGCTCAAGTTGTTTCCCGCGCCAAGATGGTGATTACCTCCAAAATTTCTTTACCTTTGCATTGTCTATTTCTGCAGCCTTCCACCTACCAGCTAGCTACGCAAACCTTCTATCGAGTTGCCTAATATTGCAGCAACCCTCTTTCCATTCTTCAGTTGCGGCTAACCTCTCTTGACCTCTTTGTTGATGCCTCAAACCCTTTCATACCTTCCAGTTGCTGTAGCAACACCATTTCCCCCTGTTATGGCCGCAACCTCCCACCCATTAACCTACCTACTGTCCAACCATCACTTATCACTTTTGCCCTCACCTTAGGGTGTTATTTGTGTTTTTTTGTCATTTATTTCATTTCTGTTCTAAGAACCTTTTTTTTTGTAGTTCCACAATATT